TATCTCTGGGAGTTTAATGTCACAAAGTAGTGAATAAAGCATGCTAATGTGCAGGGGTAATGTAAGGATTGTTAGCCTGTATGAATACTCAGAATTTTAAAGCTTCAATGTTTTCTGGTTTTTAAGACTTCAGAGGTGGTCTGTAATGGATTTGAATGTTTCATTTGTGGTATAATGAAATGTTTACGGAAAGATGACTTTTTCATTAAAGTATTTTTAGAAATGTGTGTGTTGTTTTGTCACTCAACAAGGTTCATGTGACTTAAAATCCTATAGTTTGATGTTACAACTTCAGTAATAGGAAGTTTGAGCATTTAAATTATTGTAAAAGATATTCAATGGAAAACAAATCAGTGTTTAAGAAGTGTTTCAGAAGTAAAAAAGTTTACAGCCACAATCGTTGCTTAGACATTCTTGCTGAGGACAGAAATACACAAGATAGTTGGATGGTATGTGTGAAGAATCTGGGCTGTCTTCTGGGAGAAGAGGGTCTTAGGACAAAAATTGGGGGATGTGGAGGTGTTTATTGAGGCAGTGGGATGGTAACATTTATATGGGTGAGTTGAAGTTTCTGTAAAAGTGTGCCAGAGGAACCAAAATGAAGGTGGTGGTAGTCCTCTGATAATTCTGATGGGTAGATGGCATTGCGTATGTGTAGCGTTAGTAACCACACAATCTTTGAGTGGCCTAGCTGTGTAATTGAGGCAGGCTGCGAGTGCTGCCATGCTGACCTTGTACTGAGATTGCAGCATGCTGGCCCACCTGGCTATTTCTGAGTAATGTGCTTGTAAATAGCCAGGTGAAAGTGACCGAAGACAGTACATTCTGCATGTGTTCACACTGGCTTCTCAGCTTATTTAAAGGTGTCATCCTGGGCAGTTTTAACAGTTCAATGTTCATGTCCTGTAATCAGGGTAAGAATGAGCTTCATTGCCAACAAAAATATTTGCCTTTATTTTCTCAGGATGAAAATAAGTTGTTGCAAACTGCAAAGTACTCAGAATCAAGATAACAATTGAATCTTCTGTGTGTCCACAGCCATTAAGTTTCTGGAAAATTTGAATCTTCTCTGTACCCATCACAGCATTACGTTTTTCTGAAGATCACTGTTGTGCAAAAATTGGGACTTACACATTAGGTTGATTGAATTTTGGATTACATACATATTGCTCATTTGGAGGAAATAAATAGGTCATTCATGTTTAATGGTTTCAAAAGACCTTAAGAGCAGGTAGGTGACCAAAGAGTGCATGGAGCTGCCTGTTCATGGAGGTAAAATGGGTACGTGTTTCAGGTTGGCCAGGGATTCAAAATTTGCCTGCACTGTTAAACAGTGCCAGAGTTTAGTGGCAAACAGTTAATGTGGATCAAGTTATACTGAGTGGTGGTGAGAGCTTTAAAAAGGAAATACAGCAGCAATTACATTTATTGTAATGGTTTGAAGGACTTGTATTCAGGTAATGAGTTCTGTTTTAACTGGATATATGTATGGGAGTTGTGCAGGTTTTTAGTTTTTCATACATTGTATTACTCCATGTTTATCAATAAATTTTGTAAACTTAGATACATGCAAAATACTGATAAGTTTATTTGAACATCTAAGCTGTCTTCCATTTCATAAGTATCAAAAGACAGGGTTTTTTGAGTTCAAATTTTGCCTGTCATTAAAATTCACAGAAGTGAGATACGGAGACATTGCTTGTATAAATACATGGAATATTAAGCTTGTGACTTAGTAATAGGTGCTTTGTACCAGAAGCCAAGTCTGATTGGTAGGCCTGACATTGCGTAGGTGATGTTTTGAGGTAGCCCAATTTTGAGCTAATCATAATACCAACTATTGCGTTACGAGAAATACTGCAGGAAATGCTGCATTTCATTACACATTAGGAAAAACTCATCTTTAAATTTGCCCAGGTTAAGAATTGTTTTAAAAATGTGATTTCCTTTCATATAAAATGGAGATAATAGGATTGAGGAGGTAGCAGTGTCAGGTGCCTGCCTGGTGAGTGCAAAGACCAGAGTTCAGTCCCCAGCACTGCATGCTGTGCAGGCCCCTGAGCTATGCCAGCCACTGAAACTGGTGGCAGACACCTGTAATCTCTACTGGGGAGGCTGAGACGATCGCTAGGAGACCCAGTACCAAAACCACTTTCAAATCAGAAGGTTCAGTGTGCAGATGGACTTGAGACTGGCCTGGAACTCTTAAGGGATCCTTCTGTTTCAACCGCCTACTGTTGGAGTTACAGGTGTGCCACCATGCCCAGCTGCATTCAAGTTTCTGTGTCATTTTTCTTCCTCAGTTGTACAGCAGTAGTACACTGCATCTATAGGAAATACCTTTTTTTTTTTTTTTTAAGATGAGGTCTTGCTATATAATTGAGGCTGGCTTTGAGCTCGCTTTGTAGCCCAGGCTGGTTTTTGCAAGGATCCTGCCTCAGCTGTGGGATTGCTGGGATTACAGGTATGCACCACCATGCCTGACAACAATCATTTAACTGGGAAGTTAGGAAGATTGCTCAGAGTTTGAGGCCTGCCTTGACTACAGAGTAAGACCCTATCTCAAACCAGAAATAAAGGGGAAGAATAATTATCTTGTATGTGTTTTGAGGCCTAGTCACACAATGTGGCAGAAGTGTTTGAGAACCCTCAAAGGCTTCATCTCAGGAATTAGGCTTTGTAGCCAGGGTGATAGCTCAGTGGCATATTTGATACCTGGTACCAAAAACTTGCTAAGGACATGGCTCGGTGAAATAAACGCTTACCTGACATGTGCAAGGGCCTGAGTTTAATCCCCGGTTCTGCCCAAAAAACCCTTTGTACAGTATAATGTAATTAGGATTTCTGTTATTAAACCCTGATATTGGTAGTTGAATGTACATTTTTAGGCAGACTCAGTTCCATTAAGGTTTAACAGTTCAGGAGGGCCAGGTTTATTAACCTGTAGACAGCTATAAGGCTAATACTGAGCCAGTTTCAGTGGCATATGTTGGAAATCCCAGCTCTCAGGAGACTAAGGAGAATTGCTGCAAATTTGAGACCAGCCCTACAAAGTGAGGCCAATCTGCACAGCCCAAGACTGAAAAAGACTAATGTTACCTAGGTGGGAACGGTGGTTCTATCCCCAGCCGTGGCAACCTGCCCTCAGGGCAGGCTGAGCTGGCCAAAACTAATGTTGAAAGGTCCTTTTCAGTTCGAGTTTCTCGGACACCTGGGTCCAATTTTCTTACGGAGCTAACTTGATTTCTTTTTGAAAGTATCAGTACAAGGGCGAGCCAGATAGCTCAGTGGATGGAGTGTGTTCAGTCCCTGGCATGTCATGCCGGCTCCATCCCCAGGGTGAGCTGAGACAGGAATTGAGACTGAGCATGGTGGCGTGCTTCTAATCCCAGCGCTTGGGAGGCTGAGCACAGGATAATCACTGCAGAGTCTGATTTGTGTTGTAAGGCCCTGTACTAAATAAATGCATTAAAAGAAAAAAATACAAAGCTAAAGAAAATCAGGAACAGTGCTGTGCTCATTGAACTAGAACTTAAATCCACTGTACAGCCAGGAAACAAGCCTGAGTACTGAAGCAAATCTATGAAAGGCATTTTAGGAATAGGGCTGGTACTGCACCTAGTGGATGGACAGAACTCTTAGAAATGAATAACATGTATATGGTACCTGTTCTAAACATACTCATGAATCTCCTTTTCACAATTCAAAACAAAACCATGCTTAGATGCAAGTGAATGCTGATTTGTTGGAAAATACATTTTCAGAGGGTTTTTTTTCGGAACCGGAGATTGAACTCGGGCCCTTGAGGTTGCCAGGCAAGCACTTACCCTACTGAGCTTCTTCCCCAGCCCCACTCAAGGGTTTTTGAGGGGCTTCATTTTGGTACTCATTTAACATGTCTAAATTTTCAGCATGTCTAAATATAACTGATTTTCCCATTTTTATTCCTAGACAACTCAGTTCTTCCATTCTGTGACCTTTTAAGGTTCGTTTGAGATGTCAGATACAGAGACCTTACATCACTGCTGTAGTCCAAACCACTGTCATAATCACTTAACCCTCACTTTCCCTGCTCCCTACCCTTGCTCTCTTAAAACTTGAGCATTCAAGCAATAGAGATCTTTGGAAGCCTGATGGCGCTCCTGCTTAACATGGCAAGGAGTGAATTCCTGAAAGCTTGTGTTTTGTGCTGTGCCCCATCCCCCATTCCCCCAGTCATCTCCAGTCATCTTGCCCTTTTCATCCAAAGGAGGCCTCTGCTTCCTTCAGAATGCCTTGCTCTTCCACACCTTCAAGTGTTACAACCCCAATACGGTTTCCTGTTCGTTTTGTTTTTGGTGGAACTCGGGCCCTTGGGCTTGCCAGGCAAGCACTTATTCTGTTGAGCCATCTCCCTTGCCCTGGTTTCCTGTTCTTAACTCTTACTTTGTTACCGTGCTGCTGCTGGTTTTCCCAGGTTTTTTTTTTTTTTTTTTTTTTTTTTTTTTTTTTTTTTTTTTTTTTTTTTTTTCTTTTTTCTTTTTTTAAATCATGGGCCAGCACTGTCCCCAGCTTCTGATCCCCTTGCCTCAGCCTCTTGAGGGATTATAGAGTATGCCACTAGGCTCAGCACCCATCCCTTCACTGGAATGCAAGTTCTGGGAGGATAGAGATTGGGTTTTTTTTTCCGGGTACCCAGAATCAAACTCAAGGACCTTGAGCTTGCCAAACAAGTGCTTGTGCCACTGAGCAATATCCCTGGCCCCTATTTGTTAAAATAAAAAATTAATAATAATAATAAGCCCCCATCTGCTGACCTAAAAGAACCAATCCAATGTGTTTGCGTTAGTGTGCAAACATTGACAGAGATGGTGTGCTTGCTGAAGTTTTCTGTTTTGTTTGTTTGAGACAGGATCTCACTGTGTAGCTCAGGAGGGGCTCAAACTCCCAACAGTCCTCAGACATGGCAAACTCATGAGTAGTTACTTCATATTTATTTTTCTAGAACCCCAGGACTGTATATTTAGTATAAAGTGCTTTTAAAATTTAAAAATCATTCTGAAAGTACAAAAATGAACATCTCAAAAGTTCTGAATGAACTCAAACCTAAAGATACAATTTAAGTCATAATATTCCTTTATTAGTACCAGCTCTTAAATTTTTTTTGCCAGAACTAAGCAATTTAATAGAAAAATGCAAATTTTTATTTATACAGTATTTATTTTAAAAAAGTACATAGTGGTTAGTTTTGCATCAATTTGCTTTTAGCCAGATGTCATACCATATAAATCTATGAATGTAACAAATGAGCTAAGAACAGTATAAATAAGAAATCTTGTAGTATTTACACTTATACAGAAACAACCCAAGACGATGTCCTAAGAAATTAACCTTACAGTTAAAGTGGAACTACTGATTCAACATACTGATATTTTAATGCTTATTTTCTATACTAGTTTTGGCTATAATTTTTGCATAGAATTACTTACAAAAGTATTTTCTTGCATTTCACATCAAGTAGGAGCTTTTAGAATACCAGTACAAGAAACCAAAAATAAAAACAGCTCAGAAACGGCGAACCTTCCCAAATCTAGTTCTTAACATCTGCCCGCTTGCTTTTGGGAACAAGGAATACATTGCCATCTTTCGTCTGCTGCAGGGAGTATTCGCTGGGAGAGTAAGGCTTTCCGTTTTCATCACGCAGCATGCTGAAGACTTCAAGATACAAGGTGCTGAGCTGTTTTTTCAGTTGATGGAGGCTTTTGTCATTTTCTCCTTTTTCTTTGAGTAATTTTTCTTTTTCATCTTTTAAGTGACCTAAGTCTTGCTCCAGTTCTACTATATTTTCCAGTTTTCTTTTTCTGCAATTCTGAGCTGCTACTTTATTCTTACCCCTCCTACGTATGTCTCGAATTAGTGCAACTTGAGCTTCACTGAACTGCTCCTTAGACATCATCTCGTGGAAGTCGTCAACGGGGAGGTTAATGATCTTTTCCACAGGGAATGGGATGTGGAGAGCTTTCGCCCTGAGCTCATCTCTGCTGAGATGAGCCTCTAAACGGCTTGAATGCTTGTCTTTTGTGAATGGGGTATTTTGATGACCAGGACTTGCAGGCAAATCCTCCTTCCGTGTGCTTTCACACTGAGCATCATGCATGGAGGAATGGTGCTCTGGAGACGGTGACAGTGGCTGTGCAGTATCCACAGAAGGATAGACTGACTGTGTTTTGGGACCACTGGGCTTGACACTTCCGGGGGCGCTATCTGGTTCTTCCATTTCTGAATCACTGAAGCTGGCTGGTGGGTCTCCATAGATGGAAGAAGCCACGGAGTGCTGTGGTGATGCTATGCTGGGGCTTGTGTTCAGTGAGATGCCAGAGTCAGAGTCATTGAATTCTACTGTGCTTTCAGGGTGATTTTTGTTGAAAGCTTTACAGAGTGACAGATCGGAAACGTCAATAGGCCCATATAAAAGTTTAGAGAGTGACTGGCTTACAGCAGCAGGGGAGGACATGCTGTTGCTGATACCTGGTTCTGCTATGAAAGCAGAATAAAATTCATCACCAAAATCTGTGTTTAGTGT